ACACACACACACACAGTTATATAACATATACACACATACACACATTGTAGAGGCTCTGCTCTGATTTGGGGCAGTCATATTAGAATGATAACATCCAAGCATAAAGTTTTGGTCAGGGCATCCAAGATTCAGTAATTGGTAATAATACCACCTTTTGGAGTTTAGTAAAGCCTGTATAGAGTTGTCTCAAAGAGATGGGTGGCAAACAGATCTAATAAATAATACCACAATGACTAAGTTTTGTTTGTTTTGTTTTGCTTTCTGTAAAAACTCAACTGAGCTAAATCCAAGGCAAATTCATAATACTGGATGGTTTTTATTTCCAAGATTGTTTCTAAAGGATTTAAAGCATTCCAGTTAGATTAGGAAACTTAAACCATCAGAGGAAAGATTAGTTTAAACTAAGCATTGTGTAAATACATTTGAGCTCCAGCTTCAGTTGTGACCAATCTAGACTGCTGATTGTGTATAATACAAACATAGTTGTTAAGAATTTGGACGGAACATTTCTATCTAGCCAAAACATTATAGAGGCACAACAGCTGAGCAACCACTTATAAGGCAGTTAGTTCTATTTACCTAAGAAAGAAAGATTATTTTGTATGCTTTCAACCAGTTTCTGCCTAATAGGAAACTACTGCTGTCTGGAAAGCAACCTACTGAGATCTGTAAAACCTGATTTGCTCTGCATACATATTTTCAATTTACCTGCTGTTTGTATTTGGCTAGAGTTTTTTTTTAAACAACCTGCCTCCGTTTTTCCATTAGGAAAATTGATAATTAAGAATTCCTCAATACAATAGATTGCAGGGAAGCTATAAGGCTCCCTTGTCAAGGAAAGTACCACTATATTATTATTATTCAAATATAAGCAAGCAGAAAGATGTCTGTTATATTGTTATATTTTTTCTTTCCCAAGTTAGAAATAAATTAGACTGTGACCGTGATGATTACTTTTCACCTTCAGTTAAGGATAAAGTTTTTGAATAAGAAACAATCATCTGAGGTTGCTGTTAGTAATTGTACTTGTTTAAACATTCGTCCTTAGGAATCCAATCAAATGCTGATTTTAAATAGACAAAAGTTTCATAAATGAACTTCCTGATATTATGGTACATTTTAAAAATTAAGTGATAAGTAATACAATCTTAAAAGGAACACGGTGGCTCAGTGGCTAAGATGCTGAGCATGTCGGTCAGAAAGGTCGGCAGTTCGGCGGTTCGAATCCCTAGTGCAGCATAACGGTCCTGTTACTTGTCCCAGCTTCTGCCAACCTAGCAGTTCGAAATAATGTAAAAATGCTAGTAGAAAAATAGGGACCACCTTTCGTGGGAAGGTAACATCGTTCCGTACACCTTTTGCATTTAGTCATGCTGGCCACATGATCACAGAGAAGTCTTTGAACAGCGCTGGCTCTTTGGCTATGAAACAGAGATGAGCACCACCCCTAGAGTAGGAACGACTAGCACATATATGCAAGGGAACCTTTACCTTTACCTTAATACAATCTTGTTTTTCTGATTATCTAAAACCATAATAATCTTCCCCTGGAACATATAACTACGGTATATATGTTTATTTAATTGAATACTGTTAACATCTTACCTAATTATATAATTTCTATAATACAGTATGTTTGCATACATTATCAGTTCAGCTGCTCAGACATATGCATTCATATGGAGAAGTGTAAAATGCTAATCAGCTGCAGGTGTGGAAATGTATCCCTAAGTGAAAGGGTAATGAATATATACAACATTTTAAACATATTCTCAATATAGCTTAATAAACAATCTTCTATTTTGAAAGCATATTTTGATTATAGCATCCTGGGGTTGTAGACGAGACATATAAACTGTAATACAGGCCCAATCTGTTATATTTATCTTTTTTAATTGATAACTCTCAGTTCTCGACATATGACTAAATCAAGCACAAGGTTTCCGCTGCTAACAAGGCAGTTGTTAAGTAAGTTTTGCAATAGTTGTCAAGTGAATCATAGCAGCTGCTCCGTGAAGTTGACTTTCCCCATTCATAAGTGTGAAAAATGTTACAAGTCACATTTTTAGTGCCGTTGTAACTTGTGCGGTTACTAAACAAAAGGGTTGTAAGTCAAAGGCTACCGGTAGCTATCGTTTGGATTGGAGAATCAGAGAGTAGAACTTCAAATATTCCTGAAACTGTTTTCCCCAATCTTGTGCTCCAGAAGTTGTGGGACTGAAAGTTGCAACATTGGGCCCTACTGGTTAGGATTTCTGTTCTCATTTCAGCACATCTGAACAGCATTAGCTGGGGAAAGGTAGAACATGATCAAATATTTAGCTTATTGTTGCATTATTGTGACAATTGGAGTGGTAAGATAACTCTATTGGAGCTTGCCTCTCAGCCATTCAAGCAACTTGAGCTCCTTTTGCTCCTGAAAATGTTTTGCTCTACTTCTAGTTTCTCCTATATCTAACATAGGTTACCAAATAATTGTAGTTTAATTGTACTAGTTTGAACAAGAGCCTGTTGAAAATACATTTTGAGGTTAATTGATCAAGGTTGGATAAGTTTCACCTACATGAATAATTCAGTGAATGGAAGAGGCTTTGTAAAAGTTGCCTTGAGGTCACCTGGCTTTTCTTTTATACCTAGGATTGAAGGAACTGACTCTCAGTGCAAACTCTGGCATCACCCCCAAGGGATGGGGACGTCTGGCTATTGCAGTGGCTCATAGTTCCCAAGTGCGAGTGTTGAACTTGGACTACAACCCCCTGGGTAAGAGGATTATTTGGATTTGGATACTTGGCAGTGTTTGTGTTTCCTTCCGGCTATGTCCTTCCGGCTACTAGAGATCTTGCTGGGATTATACAGGTTATAACATTTAAGGCTTGCATCTTAAAACAAATCCAGATAATACCCAAACGGAGCTTCTTAGAAGGCCATTTGGCCTTCTCGGTTAGGGATGCCATGGGTGCCCAGTTTTTGGATTTGCCTGGGTCTCATCGACTGAAGAGGAATCATCTTGGGCAGCGTATAAAATATGTAGTTACTGTATATAAATAACAAACTTCCTTTAATTTTTTTTATAAATCTTGTAGGGCTTCATTACTCGTTGGCCAGGGCCTGATGTGGTCTGTGGGTTTGACATGGTTGCCTTATACCAATAGTAATTTAAAAGCAGCTTATTCTGTGCTCTAATCAAGAGGAGCTAAGGACTATAAGAAGGCTACTTGGAAAAAAAGCAAATTTGGCAGCTGGTGAAGCTGCTTTCTACAAAATCAGCCCAATTGTGCCAGCTTATCCGGTGTTTTCTATCCCAGCCTTCTATAGCCCAGTGTTTCTCAACCTTGGCAACTTGAAGATGTCCGGACTTCAACTCCCAGAATTCCCCAGCCAGCTGGCTGGGGAATTCTGGGAGTTGAAGTC